GTATGAGTGTAATGCCTGCATGTGAGTGCACCCGTGTTGTGCAATGCCGTGGACGTGAGAACAGGGCTTCCGATTCCCCTGGAACTGGCGTTAAGGACGGTTCGTAGCCACCATGTGGGTGCTGGGAACTGAACCCGGGTCCTCTGCAAGAGCAGTCAGTGCTCTTAAGCACGGAGCCATCTCTCCAGCCCCGATTATTTTTATTTTTTATGAGTGTAAGTGAACCTGTGTCATGCAATGCCTGTGGAGGTCTGAAGAGGGCACCAACCCCTGGGAACTGGAGTTTCGAATGGTTGTCAGTCACTATGTAGGTGCTAGGAACCAAACTTAGGGCCCTTGCAAGAGCAGCCAGGGCTCTAAACTACTGAATCTCTAGCCCCTGTAAATTCAGCAGGCTTAGGCACTTGTCGAATCTGAGGACCTGAGCTCAATTCTGGGGAACCCATAGGGAAGGAGAGAATGGACTCCTGGCAAGTTTTCTCTGACCTGCACTGGCACAGGGACATATAAAATAAATAAGTAAAATGTAATAAAATTTAAAAAACAAAAAACAAACGTCAATGGAATTTTTATGGGGACTGTACTGAATCTGTTGAATGCTATTTTCACAATATTAGCTCTTGCACTTATCAGCATGGCCAGTCTATTATTTTTTAGAGTTCTTTTCAACACTTTTTAGAATGAAGGTTGGTTTTTTTTTTTTGGGCGGGGGGTGTCTTTTTGAGACAGGGTCTCTCTGTAGCCCTAGCTGGCCTGGAACTGACTATGTAGACCAGGCTGGCCTTGAACTCAGAGATTTGCCTGCCTCTGCCTCCAAGCACTACAATGAACAAAAGAGGTGAACATTCTTGTTCCTTCTTGTTCCTGATTTTAGTGGAAATGCCCCTAATTTTTCCCTATTTTGTATAATGCTAGCCATTGATTTATAGCATATAATCCTTACGACTTTATTATCAAAGTATGTCTTTTTAAAAAAAATTTTAATGTGTATATGTGTATTGCCTGCATGCAGGTAAGTGCACCCATGTTGTGCAACGCACAGAGAAGACAGAAGAGGCTGTTGGATCCCCTGGAACTGGAGTTACGGACAGTTGTTAGCTGCCATGTGGGTGCTGGGATTCGAACCTGGGTCTTCTGCAAGAACTGACTGTTCTTAACCACTTGAGCCAGCTCTCCAGCCCCCAAAAGTATGTCTTTTTCATAGTATCTTCAGGAGTTATATAAAATATTGACTTTTGAGATAATCATTATATTTCTGTACTAGAGTGCATTAATGTGATATATTTGTTAATTTATGTATTATAAACCATCACTGCATATGACATCTTAAGATGATTTGTTTTCAACAATGTCTCACATAGCCTAGACTGCCCTCAAGCTAACTATACAGCCAAGGATGACTTTGAACTCCTGAATCTCCTACTTCCTCTTCCCAAGTGCTGGATTCCATTGTGTGCCACCCACCATGCCTGGCACGTGCAGGGGATGCAACCCTTAGCTTCTTTCATGCATGCTAGGTAGTCTACCAACTGATTTATATCTTCAGCCCTTGTTGGGTTCTTGAATTCAGTTTACAAATATTTTATTGAGAAGATGTGCGTCTATGCTCATCATAAAGACTGGTCTGTAATTTTCTTTGTGTATGTGTGTGTGTGTTTATCTAATTTTGGTATCAAGTTAATACTTATGGATCTACCCTTATATGTAAATTGATATTTCTTTTTAAGTTTTCAATATATTTAATTTCTTCTATAAAGTTAGTTTTTTTTACCATGATATAATATGGAGTTTCTTTGTTTATTCTTCTACATATTTCTGTATCTGGATGGGCATCTCTTTCCATAGATATACAGATTCTTCTATTATTTTTTGGAAATATTTTTTATGCCTCTAGCATGAAATTCTTCTATGCCTATGATTCATAGATTTGGTCTTTTTATAGTGTCCCACACATCTTGAATGTCTATCTGTACTTTCTCATTAATTTAATCTGTCAATGTTTAAATGTTCAAACAGCTTAAATTTTGTCTTTAATTTCTCATATTCTGTTCTCTCCTCATTCTATTTGTGAGGGCACTGAGCATGGCTTTTAACATTGAATTTTCATTTACAGCTTGGTTTTGTTCTTTTTTTTAATTAAGTATTTCTCTTACCTAAGTTGCACTTACATAACCTGTGTTGGCTAATTTCACTTAGCTGGCTCTTTGTGTTCTCTTGGTATTCATTAAAAAGTCTGTGTCCTGTTTGATTTTTTCTTTTCTTTTTTTTTTTTTTTTTGGTCTTTTTGAGACAGGGTCTCTCCATAGCCCCAGCTGTTCTGGAACTCACTATGTAGAACAGGCAGGCATTGAACTCACAGAGATCAGCCTGCCTCTGCCTCCCAAGTGCTTCGATTAAAGGCATGCGCCACCACGCCTGGCCTGTTTGATCTTTTTAACATAGGTATCTTTTTGAAAATTTTCTTTAAGTTAAAAACATTTTTTTTTTTTTTTTTTTTTTTTTTTGTCTTTTTTGAGACGGGTTTCCCTGTAGCCCCAACTGTCCTGGAACTCACTATGTAGACCAGGCTGGCCTTGAATTCACAAAGATCTGCCTACCTCTGCCTCCCCCAAGTGCTGGGATTAAAGGCATGCACCAACCATGCCTGGCAAAACTTATTTATTTTTTATATTATGTGTTTTGCCTGCATGATATGCATCAAGCAGTCAAAAAATATATAAAAATAAATGGCCTGCAGAGGCCAAAAGAGGGTGACATATCCCCTGGAACCTACATCATAGACAGTCATTAGCTGCTACATAGGTTCTGGGAATAGAATGCCAGTCGTCTGCAAGAGCAGCCAGTACTCTTAACCTATGAGCCACCACTCCAGCCCTTGAAGATTTATTTTTATTCATGTGTATTTGTCCATGTGAATGTATGCTGTGTGTTTGTGTATGCCCTCAGAGGCCAGAAGAGGATGTTGGACTCCCAGAACTGGAGTTATAGACAGTAATGAGCTGCAAATCAAAACTGGGTCCTCTGCAACAACAGTTATCTTATAGGTGATCTTTCCCACATCCAAACTATGTAACAAAATGTAAACTTCTAATCCTCTGTAACTGTCCATTTTATAATTCTTTACATAATTCTCCAATTGATTTGTTTCAGGTATATGAATAATATCATATATGTATCAATAACATATAATAGAATTTTTGTATGCATGTTAGGCTGTATGCTAGTTCTTATAATAAACTTATATATAAATATTTTTCTGTGTATGCTTCCTTACCATAAGTACTAAAATGTTTAATTAGGTGTTCAAGAGGTATGTGCATTTAAAATTTAGTAGATATTGTAAAATTTCTCTCCAAAGCAGCTAGAGTAGGCTGGGGCTAGCTCAGGGGCAAATTATTTGTCTAACTTGCACATAGCCCTAGGTTCAATCATCACTACTTAATGAATGATTAAATGCTTAATACTGTACCAGTAAATGAGTAGCCATTTTTTATCCTATTCGTCAGTGTTAATGAAATCCTTTAGTGTATACCAAAAGCTGAGGATAAAAACGATATTATATAGTGTTTCCCTAATTACATGAGTTTGTATTTATTGATCATTTGCTTTATTTCAGCGAGGGGTGCTAGACATACTCTTGCTATATAACCCAGAGTGGCTTTCAAATTAGGATCCTCCTGCTTCCACATACTGTATACTTGACTACATGAATGTGCCATCACATACAGCATTTCAAGGGGAAGGGGGGAAAAAAAGAGTCTAGTATGGACTATATAGTGACTTTCAGACCAATATGAACTACACAGCAAGACATTGGTTGTTCTTGCAGAAGACCCAAGTTCAAATCCCAGTACTCATATGGCAGCTAACAACTGTCCGTAACTCCAGTTCCAGGGGATCCAATAGCCTCTTCTGTCCTCTGAGGGCATTGCACGACATGGGTGCACTCACATACATGCAGGCAATACACTTATACACATAAAATAAAAATAATATAGAAAATATTTTAAAAAACTAAAAAATCTTATTTACTGTGTGTCATATTGTGTATGCTATGGCATGTGTTCTCTCCTTCACCATGTGGGTTCTGGGAATCAAACTGAGGTTTGTCATGTTCAGTGCCAAGCACCTTGATCTGCTGGGCAATCTAATCTTACAGACCGAATCTCCAAAATTGGTACAAAAGGAGAAAAATCAAGTGACTAACAAAAGCAAAGGCTAATATAATGCAAAGTGATTTTTAAGTTTTAGATAATTTCTATAATTTTATCTTATCTAGAACAAGATAGAAAGCTACACTATTCATTTTATGTCCACAACTCTAGCTCCAGGGGAATCTGACATCCTCTTTCTACCTCCTTGGGCAATGTACAACACAGGTGCACTTACATACATGCAGGCAATACACTCATACACATAAAATAAACATAATATGGAAAAAATTGACTACAAACTAAAATTTTATCAAAAATTACAATGTATGTAAAGAAATATTAATGAACATGCATAGTTCATTTCATAGAACTAGGAGTACAATATTAGAAAATATGGCTGTATAATTTAAAATATTAAGAGTAAAAGTTTAAAAAAAAAAAATCTACTTGATCATTACAGTAAGTTCCAAAGAAAACAAGACTGAGGAATGGGGATGTGGCTTAGTGTGAAAAGCATTTAGTCATTAGGGGGATGGGAAAAGGACTTCAAAAATGTGTTAAAAGAACATTTAGTAAAAATCTATAATGGGTGTTATATATACAGAGATACATAAATTACTAACACTAAACTGGCAGTCCCCGAAATTTAATTTTTAAAATAGCCTAATCTAAAAGCTTTCAAGAAATTTTCAGTAACTAACAGGAGCGCTGCCGTGTTTTGTTGAGAGGGTCTTGGTATATTACTGCCCATCAAACAACTATAGGTGTGAGCCACCATCTGGCTCTCATAATTATTTCTTAGTTGGGAGATTAGTCTTCTGATAAACACAGACTAACAAAGCTTACCTGCTTTAATGCCTTTTTGCTGTGCTTCTGTGATGGAGAAATGACTTTACTTGCTGGAATGGTGGGTGATGGGCAGCCTGACTGGGGAGAGGATGGCTGTGACAGTCTAGATGATACTAGGGGGAAAATGACAAGGAAAAATAGTGTTATCAGAGTTGGTATCAAGCATCATTCCTTCCCTAGAATCATATGCTACTTATCTGTGTTAAGAATGGTGACCAAATACTTTGGGGAAGGAGTTTTTTTTGGAGTAGTATTGCAAATAGTCTCCCTTTCCAGTTTATTTCCTCAGAAATTTCTAGTGTAGGATGAAAAGATGGGGGAAGGGATGAATATTAGTATGTTACAGTCCATTGATTAACAGATGTGATCAAAGAAGCAGGAAGCAAGCAATGCAAAAATCATGTTATCAAAATAAAACTTTGAAAAAAATCTTGGGGTTCTTTGGGTAGTATTCATGTTCTGGTAAACTTGAGAGTGAATAATGGCAGCATGACATAGTAGAAAGCCATGAATAAATTTAAATGAAGACCATAGGCCACTTCCATCTTAAAAATTCTACCCGGCATTCCTTCCCTTATATCAAGAATTTTAGGCTTATCCATACAAGAAGTCCTTTGAAGATTTCACTAATGGAAGAGATGTAGGTTTTCATAGGATCCAATCACTATTTCACCATTAGTGCTTCTATGTAGTCTGAGATTGACTACACTGGAGTCATAGCAAGCAGATTTTTATGTTCTCAAGAATACATGAGTATTTTCAAATAGATTTTATTTTTGTGTGTGCGTGCGTGCATGCACACATATGAGTGCAGAGTCCACGGAGGCCAGAGGAGGGTACTGGATCCACTGGGGCTGCAGCTATATGTGTTAATGAGCTGCCCAATGTGGGTACTGGAAAGAGAACTCAGATTCTGTTCAAGGACATCAAGTGTTCTGAACTGCTGGGCAGTCTCTCCAGCCCCAATGAGTACCTATTATGTTAGCTAAGGAGAAACATGGAAATTATTGATTTAGCTATCTCATGTGACGGTAAGGGGTGTGGGAAGGCATTTATAGAAAAATAGTATTGCATGGGTAAGATCAAGAAATATTAAGATACCATATATCTGTAGAATGTACTACTAGGTAGCACTCTAACATGAGAATAAGCAGGAACATACAGAGAATATGAAGCTTTGGGGTACAGCATTCCACTTTACTCTTAAATGTCCTAAGAAACAAACAGCAGATAAGAGTAGAGTATTAAGACAGCTTAAGCTTACTTCTGTGTTCCCCATCTTCATGAATCTCACACTTGTGTACACGTGAAAGAATGGATATACAATAAGCCCACTGTTGAAAAGACAACACTATACCATTAAAAAACGGAGCTAGATAAATCTAGAGGTGAAAAAGCAACAAAAAGAAAATGAGACCTCAATTTATTTTAATTTTCACAAACTTTTTAAAGAAAGAGCCCTAAAGTCATATGTAAAACAGAATATGTTCAAAGTATAAAAAATTCAAGTGTTTGATATACTCTCAAACAGTGCAATTATCGCCACCATCAACTGTCATCATTCCACCCAAAATGACCATGTACTAGCTGGCCACTGCTCTATCCCTACACGTTGCCCTTAATCCTAGGCAACTACTTATCTATTTTCTGAATCTTTCTAATCTTACATTAGATACAATGGAATAAATGTTCTGTGAAATTTTTTTTTGTAATTAGTGCAATCTTTTGGAGGTTCACCTCCACCATGACATAGGAAGACTGCATTCATTTTTATTGAATATTATTCCATTGTATCCATATGGCACACTTTGTTCATATTCAACTGATTAACATTTGAACTATTTCTACTTTTGGCAATTATTAATACTACTATGAACAACCTCTTGTGAATGGTTTTATGTGTATGTATCTTCAAGGTGATCTTTCCCCTCTTTTTGTTTGAGACGCAATCTTACTCTGTAGTCTAAAATAGACTCAACACCTGGCAAGCCTCCTGACTGCTGGAGTTATATATGTGCACCATCATGTTTCGATAAACTAAGTATCTTTCCTTTCTCTCTTTTTCCTTCCTTTCCTCCCTCCCTTTTTTCCTTCCATGTGTGCACATACATGGAGGCCAGAAGACAACCTCAGGTGTTATTCCACAGGTGTGTCAGGGTCTCCTCACTGGCTCAGGACTTGCCAAGTAGGTTATCCTTGAGAGTCACAGGAATCAGTCTATCTCCACCCTCCCAGTGCTTTTTAAAAAAATGTGTTTTGGAGAATCTGAATTCAGATTCACAAGCACTTTACTGACATCTATCTCCTCAATTTTCAATTTTCTTGAGTTAAATCTTAGGAGTAAAATTGCTAGGTCTAACTGTATGTTTAACTTAAAAAACAAAAAATCACCGGGCGTGGTGGCACACACCTTTAATCCCAGCACTAGGGAGGCAGAGGCAGGCGGATCTCTGTGAATTCAAGGCCTTCAAGGCCAGCCTGGTCTACATAGTGAGTTCCAGGACAGCTGGGACTACAGGAAGACCCTGTCTCAAAAAAAAAAAAAAAAAAACCACCCACCAAAACCAGATTTATTTATTTTGTTCTTATTTTATGTGCATGAATGCTTTGCCTGCATGGCTGTCTGGTGCCCATGGAAGCCAGAAAAAGCATGTCAGATCCCTCAGAACTGGAGTTACAGGCAGTTTCAATCTTACCATGTGGGTGTTGAGAACCAAACTCAGTTCCTCTGGAGAGAAGTAAGTGCTCTTAACTGCTGAACCATCTCTCCTCCAGTTCATCTCTGTTTACCTTTTTGAGAAACTGCCAAGCTTTTTTACCAAAATGATTACAATTCCAGTGGGAATGCATGTGGGTTCCATTTTCTCCACACAATTATCAACATTTGTTTTTTTCTTTTGTATTTGATCAATGATATTAGAACATAATGAAAACACAAGCTTAACTATGAATATCCAACTGATTTTTCTAATGTGTTGCAGAATTTTCATAATATACATCCCCTCACTACTCCTACAAACTGCCTGATTATGAACAAGAAACATACAAATCAAGATAACTCCACTACAAAATATAAGGATTCTACTTTGTAGTCTCTATTTGTAATTACCAAGGCATGAAAGGTTCTTCCTTAAGGTTAAAGCCTTTTCTAACAAATGAAATAAGTCAAAAAAAATTCTAGGACCAGGCTGGGCATGGTAGTGTACTCCTTTAATCGCAGCATTTAGGAGGCAGAGGCAGGCTGGTCTCGGTGAGTTCTAGGCCAGCCTGGTCTACATAGCAAATTCCAAGCCAGCTGGGGCTACAGGGAGATCATGTCTCCAAAAAAAAAAAAACCATCTCAATGGCAAATAATGGTGTCAATATCTATGAAACTTAAAACATTACTCTTTTCAAAAGCTAAAGATGCAGAACTTCAAAAAGCAAACAAGATTAGACTCATAAGAAACATCTCTCTTAATTACAGTAAAAAGACACATTAATTAATAACAGCAAACAAGTCTATGTGCCAAAAGCTATACTAGTTTTACTTAACAGGATTTTTGAACTCATCTATAGTTAGAACTCCTCCATGGTACCAAAGCATAAATCCCATTTTCTACTCCAAACTCCTGAAATTTGATTTGCAGAGATAGCACTAAGTCAAATTAACAGTGGGTTTTCATCCTTACATTTTTTTTCCTGTACAAATAAAATACAAAGATACACACTCACTGTTATATGCACTGGTACTACCTATATTCATACAGCAAGAAACTGAATTAACTTGTAAAAAACATACAGCTAGCATGGAGCAAAGCCAAGATTTAAATTTTATTTTCAGAATAATTAATAGGTACCTGAAGTGAGCTGACAGTGGTGGCCACCAAAAACGTTATGTTCATGTCCTAATTCTCAGAGCCTGTGAATGGTGCTTTACTGGGGAAAGGGCCTTGCTAGATTCAAGTAAGTATCTTGAGATGAGATTACCGTGATTATCCAAGTGGATCCTAAACAACAAAGTATTTTTTATGAGACACACATACAGAAGACAGATCCAGAGAAGGTGAAGAAAAAGACAAGACTTGAAGTGGCCATAATCCAAGTTGGTTAGGTTTCACAGGAAGCTAGAAAAAGCTAGGTACAGGATTCTCTCTGAAAGCCTCTGTGGGGAAAGGAACCCTGCTGACCTTGCTCTCAGACTTCTGACCTCCAGAACTATGAGAAATAAGTTTCTGTTTTAAGATACTCATTTTGTGGTCATTGTGCTGCCTCAGAAAACATAAAACTAGTCAGATTTTTAAAGTATCACAATCATTTCCATAGATATTTGAAATAATATATTTGAAAACTTAAAATCAAAGGCAATTATATACATATTTGAAGCATAATTGGTATACTTTGCTTTACACACACACACACACACACACACACACACACACACACACACGTTTTGTCTTTGTGGAAACAGGGTCTCCTTATAGCCCAAGCAGGCATGGAACTCGTTATGGAGACCAGTCAAGCCTGTATCTCACAGAGATCTGCCTGCCTTGGCCCCCCAGTGCTGGAATTAAATGTGTGAGCCACCATACCCAGCTATTTTTCCCTTTTTAAAAAAAAGTAGGTAAAGGGGCTGGAGAAATGGCTCAGCGGTTATGAGCAGACTGCTTTTCCAAAGGACTTGGGTTTGGTTCCCAGCATCCATATAGACAACTGTCTTTTATTCCAGTTCTAGGGGATCTGATGCCCTCTTCTGGCTTCCAAAGGGATTTCATGACATGGGCACACTTACAAGCAAGAAAGCAGAACACTCATAAACAAAATTTTAAGGTAGATTAAGGAAGTTTGTGTAGAATATGAATTTATATTTTCTACTATTTTTCTTCCTTACTATTTACTAATTGCCACTTTGTTTTTATTAATATAAATTCTTTTCTAGGCTTTCTATTGGTTTAATATTACTTTTTTCCCCCCTGCCTTTTTTAGTTATATACTTTTGGGAGGGCAGTGGGGTTGAGACAGGGTTTCCCTGCACTCCTTTACAGGCCTGGAACTCCATATGTAGACCAGGCTGGCCTTGATCTCACAAAGATTCTCCTGTCTGTCTTTTCCCCCCATATGCTGGCGGGGGTGT